CTTTATTTCTTCCTTTTACCTAACAATATTTTATTTTTAATTCACTAGGCACCTAATACATTGTTAAATTTGTCTTTAAATTTTCTTCTATAATGACACTTTTTCATACACAGTAAATGACCAAGACAGAAAAACATTTTATCTGCGTAGCTTACACTGGGTACTTTGGTTTATATCTGATTGTTAAAAATTATAATAGGAAGTGACACCACATTCAGCAGTTTTCTATAAGTAGGAACCTCAGGAACATTAGTACCCAAGCTAAATGATTGGGGAGAGAGTGTGTGTGTTTTAACTTTTCAAAACCAAACCAAATGCATGATTATTTAGACTGTTATTGCCATCAACTTAAAGCTAAAGCAAGGAATCATCATTCAATTGCACTATACATATAGAAGGAATATGAAATCACACACACACGCACACATATGAACTGAAGTCATAGGACTCATGGCCACTCCAAAATTACGAATTAATTCTACTAGCCTTGGTGTGAAAATTTCTTTTTTTTTTTTTTTAACATCTTTATTGGAGTATAATTGCTTTACAATGGTGTGTTAGTTTCTGCTTTATAACAAAGTGAATCAGTTATACATATACATATGTTCCCATATCTCTTCCCTCTTGCGTCTCCCTCCCTCCCACCCTCCCTATCCCACCCCTTTAGGTGGTCACAGAGCACCGAGTTGATCTCCCTGTGCTATGCGGTTGCTTCCCGCTAGCTATCTATTTTATGTTTGGTAGTGTATATATGTCCATGCCACTCTCTCACTTTGTCACAGCTTACCCTTCCCCCTCCCCATATCCTCAAGTCCATTCTCTAGTAGGTCTGTGTCTTTATTACCGTCTTGCCCCTAGGTTCTTCATGACCTTTTTTTTTTTTTCTTAGATTCCATATATATGTGTTAGCATACGGTATTTGTTTTTCTCTTTCTGACTTACTTCACTCTGTATGACAGACTCTAGGTCCATCCACCTCACTACAAATAACTCAATTTTGTTTCTTTTTATGGCTGAGTAATATTCCATTGTATATATGTGCCACATCTTCTTTATCGATTCATCTGTCGATGGACACTTAGGTTGCTTCCATGTCGTGGCTATTGTAAATAGAGCTGCAATGAACATTTTGGTACATGACTCTTTTTGAATTATGGTTTTCTCAGGGTATATGCCCAGTAGTGGGATTGCTGTGTCATATGGTAGTTCTATTTTTAGTTTTTTAAGGAAGCTCCATACTGTTCTCCATAGTGGCTGTATCAGTTTACATTCCCACCAACAATGCAAGAGGATTCCCTTTCCTCCACACCCTCTCCAGCATTTATTGTTTCTAGATTTTTTGATGATGGCCATTCTGACTGGTGTGAGATGATATCTCATTGTAGTTTTGATTTGCATTTCTCTAATGATTAATGATGTTGAGCATTCTTTCATGTGTTTGTTGGCAATCTGTATATCTTCTTTGGAGAAATGTCTATTTAGGTCTTCTGCCCATTTTTGGATTCGGTTGTTTGTTTTTTTGATATTGAGCTGCATGAGCTGCTTGTAAATTTTGGAGATTAATCCTTTGTCAGTTGCTTCATTTGCAAATATTTTCTCCCATTCTGAGGGTTGTCTTTTGGTCTCGTTTATGGTTTCCTTTGCTGTGCAAAAGCTTTTAAGTTTCATTAGGTCCCATTTGTTTATTTTTGTTTTTATTTCCATTTCTCTAGGAGGTGGGTCAAAAAGGATCTTGCTGTGATTTATGTCATAGAGTGTTCTTCCTATGTTTTCCTTTAAGAGTTTGATAGTGTCTGGCCTTACATTTAGGTCTTTAATCCATTTTGAGTTTATTTTTGTGTATGGTGTTAGGGAGTGTTCTAATTTCATACTTTTACATGTACCTGTCCAGTTTTACCAGCACCACTTATTGAAGAGGCTGTCTTTTCTCCAGTGTATATTCTTGCCTCCTTTATTAAAGATAAGGTGACCATATGTGCGTGGGTTTATCTCTGTACTTTCTATCCTGTTCCATTGATCTATATTTCTGTTTTTATGCTTGTACCATACTGTCTTGATTACTGTAGCTTTGTAGTATACTAAAAATCCTATCTTTTATTTTTAAGATTTCTTTTTCTCAAATTCAAGTTTTCAGGAAAAATATTCAGCATATTTTATATTTTCTTCTCAATTCTCTTTTTTTTTTTTTTTTTTTCTGTGGTACGCGGGCCTCTCACTGTTGTGGCCTCTCCTGTTGCAGAGCACAGGCTCCAGACGCGCAGGCTCAGTGGCCATGGCTCCACAGCATGTGGGATCTTCCCGGACCGGGGCACGAACCTGCGTCCCCTGCATCGGCAGGTGGACTCTCAACCACTGCACCACCAGGGAAGCCCTCAATTCTCTTTTTTTAAGAAAACATATATTCTTTTTTATTACAAAGATTGCTGGGTTTTCCCCCAAGAAGGATAGCATAAAGTTTTAATGACCATTGTTATACGTCTTAAACATGCAGTATAGTTTTTTTATAAATATGGTTTTTAAAAGGATTATCTCTAGTTGAAGCAGCTTTACAATATTAAGGAAATTTTAAGGCAGTTACTCTTTATTCCACTATTCTACTATAATTGTTTTTATTTCACCCAGTGTGTATATTATTTTATATAGTTGTGATTATAATACATATACAGTTTGGGGATCTGTTGTTTTAACCTCATGCTTTTTCATATATACTTTTCCATGTTGTTGCATAAACTTCATATCTATCATTTTAAATGTCTGTATAATATTCCTTTGAGTTACCATACTTTTTCTATTATCCTATAAGTGAGGTTGTTTCCAGTTTTATGCTATTATATTTGGTATTCCAGTAAATACTGTTGTACAGATACTTCTCTGTACAGAACTTCTCTGGGTTTTTTTTAGTGGCTTCGTTACAATAAATTCCCAGAGTATAATTTGCAAGTCAAACAGTATGAACCATTTTCTTCCTTCAGTAGTGGTGGTGGTGGTGGTGGTGGTGGTGGTGGTGGTTGTGGTGGTTGTTAAATACCTGATTATTTTCAGTTTGTTTGTTAGTTGTCTCTATACTTAAATTCTATTGTAATTGTATTTGTTACTTATAAACCTTAATGATTCTTATTGCTGTCTGTTGGGTTTGGATGTACATGAATCAGACTCTTCTAATATAAGAACCTCCATAAAGCAGCTGGTCTGGAGGAAGTCCCCATAAATACAGTAGAAACATTTTATAGGTTTCTATGGGGATTCTATAACTATATAGTGGAAAATCTGTTCTCTTGGGGCTAAGGGTATAATATCCCCCTCACCTAGCAGTTAGGAAAATGAAGCAACGTAAAAAACAGTATAAGGAAGTTAGAGCAATTTAAGAAATAACTAAATCTATTAAATACTCAGGAAGAAGCAAGTTAAACTAACAGTTTAAAACAAATGCGTACGGGTGAAAACCATATACGCTCTCATCTCAGAGCTTGATTTTTTTACAGGGAAACAGACTGTTCTATTTTCCTTATTATATTTTTTAGAAATTCATAGATGAGAAACTTGTCCCCAGCCTTAGTAATACTATTTTTTCAATAAGTGATTTATTGCCTTTATCCATTTATTGCATTTAACATCATAACTGTCATATAATAATAGTCTCTATATATTTATAGGTACAGAATATAAAATGTAGTTACCAGCTCCAAGTTATATATGCGATTGCTCACATATATTAACATAAGTCAAAGCAAAAATTCGTTCTGATCTCATTCATTAAAGCAAGTGATAAAGCTGTTTAGTGATTATTTGGGTTGTAAATGATTGGGTTTTATTTGAAATAACAGTGGTTAAATTTTCATCTGTGAAACTCTGATTTTTACATTATCATATACTTTTCCTGGGAACTTCAGTATACCAGTTTTGATCCTTCTTAAATGTAATTTCTCACCTTTCAGTGGTGTATTTATAGCCAGGTCACTGGAATATACCCTCTCATATCTGATTGCATAAACATGACTTAAAATAGTACTGAGCTTATCATCATTCCACCCAAAGCAACTCCTTATTCTGTCACTGTTGCCCCCACTTTCATCAGTACTCAGTTTTAATACCTTGGAATCATTCCTGACTCTCATTCTTCTCCCTTCATTATCTAGTTAATCTCCAGATCATAACTATAGTTTTCTTTCATAGTGTCTCCCCCTCTACTCTGCCTTTCTGTTTCCCATTGCCACCACCTTAGTGCTGGACCTCATTACTCCTAGACTACTGCAACAGACTTGAATTTGGGGTATGTGATTTCTTTATTGTTAAGAAAAACGGTTTATTCCAGGAAACTACATCACCTACTTACAGTTTTACCTATTGCAAAAAAAGAAACATAGACTTTGTAAGAACAAAACAAAACAAAAAATCACCTTTTTTCTATAAAGATGTTGCTTCTATTCCAAGAAAGATATTTTGGTGGCAGGAAATAATATTCTCTCATATGGAGTAAATTCTGAAACTGTAAATACTTATAGAAAGTGCCAGGTCTTAGAAAGATGACCTTCTTATATGCTATATCAAGTAGTCTATCATTTAAACATAAATGAATCCATATACAGAAATTAAGGCAGCTAATAAGAATAGTGCAAAAGGAGTATGAAAAAACTATTAAAGAATTCCCTGTTCATAAATTAACGGAAAAGCAAATAAATTTAGCCTTAGAATGAAACACAGCAAACCATACCAGCGCCCAGATAAACATGCACCATGGTGCTCCTGGGACACCACTTCAGCAGTTATCTCCAGAAGGTGGCTGGGGCTTGCAACACACCCAGAGTTAGAAGAACCGGAGGCGCTCCAGGGTTGCACCGGCGCTGTCACAAGGAACATCTGACACAATGTATTCATTTGCCTTGGAATTTGTTTGTGTCATTTGCCTTTGACTAACCTAGAATGAAAGAGGTATCCCTTGTCACTCTTTTTCTGCCTTCTTCAATTATAAAGCATGTTTTATAATCTTCATTTTTTGAAAGGGATCACATGCAGTGGTCAAAAGAAGAAGAAGAAGCAGCCAGAAAAAAAGTAGAAGAAAACTCAGCTGTGCGAGTCCTTCTGGAAGAGCAAGGTAAAGCAACTACGTGTTGTGTCTCCTGGAGCCTGGCTTTCCTGTGTGCCCTTCCACTGATTCAGTTCACACCTCAGTCTCTTTTCCTCCTAATTGTGCCACTACTTTAGAGAGTTCTTAGCTTCTACCTTTGCTAATCTACTTGTTCCTTTGGGAGAATTCCCAGTTATTCCAGTGTAGCGGAACCAAAGTTAAAGAAATAAATTATGTATTCACCCTATAAGTATAATCTCTTTCTATAGTCATATTATTGCTTTCTCTGGGAGATACATAAGGGTGGCATTTCAAACAGGATATGAGAACATAATTTAAATTTTTTCCTTTAGTTATGCATCTTTTAGTATGCTGTTGTGCACTTGACCTGCTAGGAATATTCAACAGATTCAAAAACTTTGAGCGAAGAAGGTAGAGTCATATCAAAATGTTTCTGGTCTTTTATTGAACATAAAGTTTCAATAAGGATTTGAGGTACTTTTCTTGGAGGCCTTTGATATTTAGAGTTTAATTTAGGTAAGGCCTTGCCAACCTTAAAAATGGCTTCTAAAGTATTGGCCTATGCTACAATCACAAAACCAGAAAATAACAAGTGTGGGTGAAGATGCATAGAAATGAAGCCCTTATATGCCCTGTTAGAGTAATTATAAAATGGTACAACCTCTACTGAAAACAGTATGGAAGTTCCTCCAAAAATTAAAAATGGAACTACCATATCATCTAGCAGTCCCACCTCTGGATATATAGCCAGAAGAATTGAAAGGGTCTTGAAGAAATATTTTCACACCCATTTTCATAGCAACACAATTCACCATAGCAAAAGGTAGAAGCAACCCAAATGTCCAACAGATAAATTGATAAACAAAATGTGGTCTCTTCATATGGAATATTATTCAGCCATAAAAAGAAATGGAATCCCTGTCACATGCTATCATCTGGATGAACCTTGAGGACATTATGTTAAATGAAATAAGCCAGTCACAAAAAGACAAATACTATATGATTCCACTTATATGAGGTACCTAAAGTAGTCAGATTCATAGAAACAGAAATTAGAATGGTGGTTAGCAAGGGCTTAGGGGAGGGGGTGAAACACAGAGTTGTTGTTTAATGGGTATAGGGTTCCAGATTTGCAGGATGAAAAAGTTCTGGACATCTGTTTCACAACAATGTAAATATACTTAACACTACCGGGCTCTTCACTTAAAAATGGTTAAGATGGTAAATGTTACGTGTTTTTTACCACAAATTTTTGTTTAAAAAGCACACTAAAAAAAATTTGGCCTCTGTCCTTCTCAGTGCATAGCTGGGAACCGACAGGCAGTTGGCCCAACACTTACACTCTCTAGAGAGAATTTTCCTACCTTTTTTTTCTTAAATGATTTCTCCTTTAAAACAGGTTGATTTTTTTTCTTTAAAAAAAACAAAAACAGCTTATTGAAGTACCAGATACCCATAGAAATTAACACAATTCATAAATTTTCATAAAGTTTTCATAAAACTCAGTGAATTTTCCCAACACCCACTTTAAGAAACAGAATATTACCAGTAACCCAGAAACTTCCTCATGCCCTGTCCCAATTACTTTCCCAAACCCCTAAGACTCTACAAACAGCAACCACTATTCTGGCTTCTAATACCATAGGTTAGTTTTGCCAGAACAACTTGGTTCTGGTTATCATCATTTCTCAATCACTCATGTAGCACTGTCAGTGTACCTGTTAGATAGAATGAGAGGCAGTAAACTATGGCCAGGGGCCAAATCCAGCCCACTGTCTATTTTTATAAAGAAAGATTTATTGGAACTCATTTGTTAACATTGTCCATGGCTGCTTTTGAGCTACATCTACAGAGTTGAGTAGTTGCAACAGGGACCTTATGTAGTCCACACAGACTACGTACCGTCTGGCCGTTTACAGAAGAAGTTTGCCAACCCCTGAGATAGAATTTTGTTTCCAGATTGATCAGCTGTCCTGAAACTCCCCAGAGAAAGATGTTTGCATTCCTCTGTGCAAGCCAAGCGTAGTGAAAAGCACTAATCCCACTGGTAGTTAGCTATTGTTGTGACTTTAGTCTACACTTGAGGCTAAAGTTTGAAGCAAAGGTAGCTGTTGAAACTTAAGCTAATGCGACAGCCCTCATGAGCTGCCCTTTGCCAGTGAAGGGGGCAGTGTGGCCCTGTCTTATCCTCTGGCATCATTTGTTATCCCTCAGAGCTAGTTTTCCTTCCTTACTGTAAGCATGAATATGTCCTGGAGGATAGACAAGAAAGAAGAGCACCTGATCCACAGTAGAACCATTCTATTTTTATGAACTCCAGCCATGCAGTCCCAGAGTGGGATGTGGCCAGGGAGTGTTGGGGCTGGATTTTAGAGTGCATACCGGTGGCAGTTCTGCTCACAGATCAGCCCGTACTGCATTCCTTTGCAGGAACTCTGTCACACTGTTTCTGAGGAAGTATAATTTTGCTTCTTTGCCAGCAGCTGCACAGGCATATTTTCCACATTACTCAAGCTTCTGCTAGTGGCCACCTGGATGTGACAGAGAGAGTCAAGCCTAAACAGAATTAAAAGATATCAGTCATCTTAATTCTTTTCCAGGAAGTTAAAAATTATCCACAGTATATTTCCTGAGAATACGAAAAACCAAGGATTTTTTTTTCATGCTCTTTTGAGTATTTCTGTTTAGAACATAAATAGATGAGCAATGCTGATAATGTTCCCTTAAAGGGCTCTGTACGTGGCTGCCTATTTTGGCCTATTTATGTTAACAATGAACTTGAGTGAAGCTAATGAGAAGGTTATTTTCAGGCCTTGGAAACCACAGTAAAGGAAAATGACAGTTCCCACAGAACCATAATGTGACTGAAATAGAAAGGTGGTGACTGGCCTTCCTCTATAGAAGCAGGAAAAGCAGACTGGAGAGGGCTGATGATACTGCTTTGAAGCATTTGGTTTGCTTATTAGCATGTGCAGTCTGTTTCTGAGCAAGTTTTCTGGCCGCCGTGGAGACACAAAAGAGTTCATTTTAAAATGACTCAAAGTGATCAAGGCTTCTGCTGGGTCCCCTCTGCGTCCTCCCTTCCTACCTCCCCCCACCCCCCCATAACACCACTCAGTGCAGTGGACTTCACACATGTCAGAGAACTGCTACAAGGAGAGGAACACACACATTGAGGGTGACCCTTACATCACACTTAAGCAAGGTTGCACAGAGCAGCAGTTGAGGGTGGCAAAGAAAGAAAACTTCTGTCCTGAGGAACTATATTGAGTGATGGGACATTACAGTGAGAGTAAATACCTACCCAGCCACCCAGTCCAGTCTCCACCAGGAATCATCGACCTGCTAGTCTGCAGCAGCCTAGGTGAGGCTTCTAATTGGATATCTAATGTCTCTGATGAATGTGGGTCAAGGTGAATAGATCCGTTTAAAAGCTCTATTCCCAAATGTTGTGAAAACCCAAAGGAAGCTGTGACCCGGTTCTTCTCCCACTGCCCCTGTTAATCACCATCTCTTCTTATCCAGGAGGGTCCTAAGTCTTTGAAAGAGCCAGTTTTCTCCCATCATAAAGTATTCCATTTGCAGAATAGTATACGGCATGAGCACTGTCTACTGATTTTATCTTACTTATTTTAATGCCACTGGGAGGAAATACTGGTTGTTCTCCCATGCTGGCCAACTCTCTGGCAAGTTTCTTTTGGTCTCTGTGTGTCAGTCTCTCCTGTCACTCCCATTTCCCATTTGTCACCTATTGTCTCAGCCTTTGGTGAGAACTGAAGTCCGGAAACACCCCCACAATTCTGAAAATAAGAATTTATACATCACAAATAAGACAGTCTTTTGCTGTACAGTGGTTGACATATTCATTCCTGTGATTAAAATGTAAAGCATCCGGCCTCTCATTAGCATTATTTCTTTCAATTAGATGCCCAGATTAATGATTTTTTTTTTTTGCGGTATGCGGGCCTCTCACTGTTGTGGCGTCTCCCGTTGCGGAGCGCAGGCTCCGGACGCGCAGGCTCAGCGGCCATGGCTCACGGGCCCAGCCGCTCCGCGGCATGTGGGATCTTCCCGGACCGGGGCACGAACCTGTGTCCCCTGCATCAGCAGGCAGACTCTCAACCACTGCGCCACCAGGGAAGCCCAGATTAATGATTTTTAATTCCACATTTCCTTTTGGTAATTTATTTATTTATTTATTTATTTTTTGCGGTACCGGGCCTCTCACCGCTGCGGCCCCTCCCGCCTCAGAGCACAGGCTCTGGACGCGCAGGCTCAGCGGCCATGGCTCACGGGCCCAGCCGCTCCACGGCACGTGGGATCCACCTGGACCGGGGCACGAACCCGTGTACCCTGCATTGGCAGGCAGACTCTCAACCACTGCACCACCAGGGAAGCCCTGGTAATTTATTTTAAATTTTATAATAGCTCAGATTTCTTTTTAAAGCAGGTTAATTCAGAGAAATGAGAAAGATACATTTGGCAGTTTTTGAGTTAACATGATTATAATTTCCTGAAAACATCTCTAGTGTGTTATATCTCAGCTGGTAATTTAGCAAATGTAATGGGTTTTTAAAAGTTAATAACAAATGCAGCTGCTATTTTTACTTTAAAATACCATTGTAAATAACTGTCTACCTAGGATGAGTTATCTATGTTGAGGAAAATAGTAAGAGAATTCCACTATACCTTCCTTTGTGAATACCTTACCACTTGAGAGTGTCCTATGTGAGAAAAAAAAATAGAGTAGCTAAAAGTTTTGTGTGCTGATAAATTTAGGATACTTGTTTGTAGGTCAGCTTTGGTTGTTAATTTCATACAGTGCTCTTAGAAGTATACTTTAAATTTCATAACTTTAAGAGTTTTCCTTTATTAGACAATTAACTTTATCAGTGACATGTGGAAATTTCCAACTTCGAGAGCTCAGGTGTTCGTGTAATTGCTGTGCAAAAATAGCTTTAAATTGCCTTTTGTATAGGGAGGGTGGGAGGGAGGGAGACGCAAGAGGGAAGAGATATGGGAACATATGTGTATGTATAACTGATTCACTTTGTTATAAAGCAGAAACTAACACACCATTGTAAAGCAATTATACTCCAATAAAGATGTTAAAAAATAAAATAAATAAAATTTAAAAAAAATAAATTGCCTTTTGTTACATTGCAACTTAGAATAAATTTTCATAATACATATTAATCATATCGTATATGTCAGATACATATAAATGGTTTAATTCAATTTCTTAGTTGTTATATTCAGTGTGATTCAGGGTGAATTCTGAATATTTAAGTATGGTTAGTGTGTCATAGTCCTTCTTCCCCTCAGCAGTATTGAATTTAATAAATGAATAATTGAGAAGTTGCTTCATCTGGCTGTGGTTAAACAGATCACTACATCCCTTTTACGGCCGTTGGCAGAGAGCAATTAACTCTGAATTGGCAGCCTTGGAGAGTAAAGGGAAAATTTTCTCCTCCAAGAAAAATTGATCATTAATATACCTGTTTAGAAAATCAGTTGGACAAGATGAAGACAGGGCAGATTTCTCTACACTATATTCTTTTATCATTATAGGCTGAACTTGAGTTGAGTGAACAGCAGGATTAAGCTAAATTTTTCACTCATGGTCAGAAAAGTTGCTCTTCCAATTCCCCTGTTATCACAGATACTCTTGCAGTTCAGGAAATTAAATTATATGCTGGAGGTGTTTCCTTGTCTCATAGCCATAATTATGAGTTTGACTGAGCTTCCGTGGGGTCTCAGAGGCTGTTATACATTACTGGGAACTGTGGAGTTGCCAGCATTGATTGAAGGTACTGCTAAAAGCACAACTTTAAAAAGCAAAAAAAAAAGTTCCAGCTCATTAGCCTTTATCCCAGACTATCCTGTTTTGTTTCTGTTCTGTTGCTGTCCCACAAACCCATCTATTCTCATAGAGCATTTTATGTTCCTGTTGCTCATCATAATTTCATCATACAACCTTGCATAGTTTATTTTTTATATAATTCAAATGGGGTTTAATTAAGTCTGTTTTTCTGATCTGTCTTTATGTAGGTTCACTTCAATCAGCATTATTTTTACTATTTGGTTATACTGATTATAAGTCATACTGAGGTTTTAATTTCAGCTTGATGCTTCATAATGAGAGGAAAGTACAAAATCAGAAAAACAGATTATTTTCAGAGATATTTTGGAGGGGGTTAATCTTGATTTTGTGTTAGGAAGGCAGTATGTATAATGATTGAGCATAAAGTCTGATAGAATTGGTTCAGGTCCTGGCTCTGCTGGGTGACTCTGGGCAAATTTTTTTATCCCCTCTGACCTTGAACTTCTTTGTCTGTAAATTGGAATAACATGTCTATCTGAGAGGTATTATTAGGATTAAATGGGAAAAAAATCCAAGTAACATTTGACATAGTGCCTGGCACAAAATAAACACTTAGTATGTACTATTGTGCTGCTGTTATTGGTACAATGATTTATGTGATGTTTGTTTTTTTCCTCCTAATTCCTGAGTGGGAAATACTTGAAAAAGGCTTGAAAGCGTATATATCAGCAGACCTTGACCATCATCTTTTAATAGTAATCAGATCCTTTTTAAAGATTGGATAAGCTAGGGTTGAATTTAGGTGCTTGATATACTTGGTACCTGCACCAGATTCTAGTCACCTCACTGCAAATTCATTTTCTTTATAAACTGTAGAAATTAAACAGTAGTACAGGCTCATATTTATGACAGCAATCTGATCCAAGATTTTGCAGTTTGTAGAACTGAATGTTTAATGTTCTCCATAAATTCATGGGATTTAATAGGAAAGTACATAGACTTTTTAGAGCTTAACCATAGAGATACTCTAATTCAGGGGTCCGGCCAGTGGCCTGTTAGGAACCAGGCCGCACAGCAGGAGGTGAGCAGCAGGTGAGTGAGTGAAGCTTCATCTGCCGCTCCCCATCGCTCCCCATCGCTCGCATTACCTCCTGAACCATCACCCCCCCACCCCCCACCTCCGTGGAAAAATTGTCTTCCACGAAACTGGTCCCTGGTGCCAAAAAGGTTGGGGGCCGCTGCTCTAATTCAACCCCTCATCAAATGAGGAAACTCTTTGGGCAAGTAGAATGAAGAATTCAACCAAGATTCCTCATCTTCATGTAAGATGTAGATAAAACTTTGCAAAAGAAAGAACTACCTAATAATCGTTAAATTGTTACCAGCACTCCAAATTTCCATCTGATGGTTATAAATGAATATAAAATAAATTTTAGAGTTGCAGTCAGTGTACAGACCATTCTGTGTGAATATTTTCTCTTAATATTATTATCCTTTAAATTTTAATTGCTACATAAGTTTACTCTGTTTTGACATGCATGGTTTGCTTGGTCATTCCTATGTTGCTGGCTGTTTGAGTTATTTCCACTTTTTCTTATTATAAATAGCACTGCTATGAACATCTTTTCTTTCAAGTTACTCCACTGCTGTCTATCTCTTCCCCTGCCAATTAATTCCGAGGGGGATATTCCCACAAATTAATCACTTATATTACATTCTAGTTACTTATAGTTAGGTTCAAACTCACTTCACAAGTAACTTGGTATTGGAAACTCAAATGCTAAAGATTTGACTAAATATAGGTCTTCTTAGGTGGGTCACCTTTTATTAAGCAGAAAAATCTTTTACCAGCATAGAGTGAGTTACAAAGAGAGTTCTTAAGGTAAAAGGAAGAAGAGAAGGTGCGAGAAGACCCTGGGGAAATTTGACGGTTTCCTAATTCCTCCTGAGTCTGATTTTCGGAATGTTGTTTTGTTTTCTTACACAGTATATCAGGTACACTCCAATTTCTAAAAGTAGAGATAGAACTATTTTAAAGATATACAGCATTTTTAGATTAGTGATAAATAGGCTTCCTCCCATTAGTGCAGATGAGAGCATGTTTTGGACTTCAACATCACATAATTCTTTTGTTACAGAGATCTACTTTCATTTCTCAGACCTTAAATACATATGGGAGTTTCTGTCTTTCTAGCAGTCCTGCTGCCAGATACAATTCAGCCCTGATGGGAAGGAAGTCTTGTGGCCAGATGGGTGGGGATCCATGGTACAAGGCCATAAAGATAAAAGTGGAAAGAGAAGAAAAAATATAAGGGCTTCAGGACAGGGTTCTGTAACAGAGACAAACCTGACTATAGGCAACTGCTTGTTCTGAGGGTAAGGGCTTCTTTAAAATTTTCAAAGAAATGAGTCTGTTGTTTTTAGTTTTAGTTTATTTTTGGAATAGATTATAATTTCACATGGATCAAAATTCAAATGAGAATTCTTCCTCAAACCCTGGTCCCCAGCCACTCAGTTCCACTCTTTAGAGGCAACCAGTACTACTAATTATGTGATTATCCTTCCAGAAGTATTCTGCCCATATAGCAGTAAATATGTGTATATACATACATGACTGTTTTTCTGTGTATGTACACACATGTATTTTTTTCTTCTTTTGTTTCTAATAAATAGTTGCATCCTATACTTATTGTTCTACATTTTGCTTTCTCACCTAACATTAAGTCTTGAAAATTATTCTATATTAATGGAAGGTTTTTTTAATTTTTTGAAGGCACTTTAGAAATGTCACGTGTCTACACTGGGCGAAAGTAGTTCCTAACCCAGGGATTAGGTCTGGTATGTAATAGTATCCAAGAAATGTTTCTTGAGTGAGTGATTGAGAAAGTGAGTGAATTAATGATTATACTAATTTAAGCTGCAGATAGAAAGAGGCAGAAAGCTAAGAATTGCCTGAAGGTCTGAGACTGTTGACCTAACCCTGATGCTGAGACCCAGGGTAATCGAAGGGATGACATCACAAAATGCGTATCTCTTTTTAAATTGTATCAGAAATTCTCTTTAAGGCTTCATATTAGGAGATGTCAATAAGAAGAGGTGCCTCTGGAGGTGGGTGAAGAATGGAGTTATGGGATGGCCCCTAGACCCCAGGAGTCAGATCATACGGTCCTGCTTCTGCTGTGACCGGGCTCCAGGACCCATACAAGTGGGTTCATTTCTCTGTGTGTCCTTTCTTCAAACGTGAAACAAGGGGGTTGGAGTAGATTATTGCAATGGACCGTTCTAGCCCTAAGATTATGTCATTTATTATTCCACAATTTCCTGTTTGATTACCAGTTTGCACAGACATTTGTCGTGTAGAAGCTGCATTTACAGAGACATAAAAAATGAGGTATCATTTCTCTAAGATAATAAAGAGCCTTACAGGTTATTGGTAAAAATGTGATCATTAAGATTTCAAGATTAGACTGTAGAAAGCAGTATGCAATGATTATATTCCTCACAAAAATTTATTGGCTAAACTATTGAGACAGAAGCAGACTTACCAGGGTAAGCCCAAATAACCCACACATTGACACATTTTGTGAGGATTAATACTCTGTAGTTTTAACCTTTAAAAGGTTAAAAAAGGGCTTCCCTTATAGCAGAAACTAACACACCGTTGTAAAGCAATTATACTCCAATAAAGATGTTAAAAAAAAAAAAAAGGGCTTCCCTGGTGGCTTAGTGGTTGAGAGTCCGCCTGCCGATGCAGGGGACACGGGTTCGTGCCCCAGTCCGGGAGGATCCCACATGCCACGGAGCGGCTGGGCCCATGAGCCATGGCCGCTGAGCCTGCGCGTCTGGAGCCTGTGCTCCGCAACGGGAGAGGCCACAGCAGTGAGAGGCCCGCCTACCGAAAAAAAAAAAAAAAAAAAAGTTAAAAAAAAAATCAGATAAATAAAAATTATTATAATATTAAAGTTATTCAATAGTAAATATAATTGTTATAAGTGAATAGTATATGTAATATATTTAACAGTATTTAATTATTAAATATATTTAGTTATTAAAATAGTAACTAATGATAAATATAATTCATAGTAAAATAAATCCTTTTTCTTCTCTTTATTTTAGTGAAGTATGAGAGTGAAGCTAGTAAATATTGGGACACATTTTATAAGATACATAAGAATAAGTTTTTCAAAGATCGTAATTGGCTGTTGAGGGAATTTCCTGAAATTCTTCCAGTTGGTCAAAAAACTGAAGAGAAGGTAGAAGAATTATCATGGAATCATGTAAAAGTTCATGCTGCAAACTGTTTCTCAAGAATGCACTGCCCTACTATGCCTGAAGAAAAAAATCATGATAGAGAAATTTCTGGCTCATCAGATGGTCAAAACAAAGCAGGATCTGATTTTTCCAACCTAGACTCCAAAGAACACAGAAAAGGACCTCTGAAGACTGAATTGTTTCCTGGTAGCAACGCCACTTTCAGAATCCTAGAGGTATGGTACTGCAGGGGCAAAAATTTTTCAATGTACATTCCATATTACTTTAATAACGATCCAGATTTTTGAGGGGGGAAATGATCAAATCTAACTATTAAATAAGTGTTCATATACTTTTGTGCATAAAAATTATTTAAGGGACTCATATCTTTAATTAGTCAGGTTTTAAGTTTGTGATTTAAATTTTTTTTAATTTGTCTACTTTAATTTCTAACTTGAAGGAAGTTTTAAATACCAATAAAGTTTTGGCCTTAATTTCTATCTTTCTGTTATTACCCACTTTTAGGTGAAATAGAAATAAGTGAAGTATGTAATTTGCTATAATCTGGTGTACACCTTGATTTTCTGTTTTAAAAAATAAACCTTTTCCTTCTGATTGTAAAGATAATATATACTGCTTACAGAGAATTTGCTAAAGAGAAAGAATAAAATAATCTACAGTCCCATAAACAAGGGATTTAATTTAACCACTATTAACATTTAACTGACTTTTTTCTCCTTTCGTTTATACTGTTTTGTATAGTTGAGCTATACTCTACCTGCATTTTGGGGTTTTGCTTTGTTTGTATTGAACATTATAACATAAACAGTTTTCCCTATCTTTAAAAATTCTCTATAAACATTTTCATGGCTGCAAAATACTTTACTATGTGGAATACTATGATTCTACTTACCTGTTTTCACTTGACTGGGCATTTAAATTGTTTTCAGGTTTTCAACAGCAAACATCTTTGGGTATAGACTTTTCTGCATTTTCTTTTATTATTTGGGTTCAATTTACTAGTTCATAATTTATTTAAAAATTTTAGTACTGTTAAAATATATTGCCAAATTGCTTTCTAAGAAGTTGTACTAATACCAATTCACTGCAGTGTAGGTCTGTTTCATCACACCCTTACTGATTGGAATATTCTTATTTTAGTGCTTTCTGCTTTGTTAGACAAAAATTATACCTTATTTTAATTTGCATTCCTTTGATTGTTAAATAGGTCATATAGTTCTTTAAACGTTTAGAAGTCATTTGTACTTCTTTTGTGTTCTGTTTATTTCCTTTATTTATCAGATGCTTTTTAAAAAATGAGCTCTGCCCTTTATCATATTTAATGCAAATGTTTTTTTCACAGTATGTTTGTCACCTTTTAATTTGGTTTATTTTGGGTTTTGGTATGTAAAAATTTTAGATGTTTCCATAAGTCAGATTTCTCAGTGCATATTATTCTTGTGATTTACTTCATTGCTTTTGAGTTTAGAAAACTCTCCTATACCCAGAGATCCAGTAAATTTCTTTTAGTTTTTTTTTTAATAAAAAAATCTGACATTGGTGAGGAAAATTTAACTTTATTTTCATAATATTTGTTTATTCTTTGATTTTAGGTTGGCTGTGGTGCTGGGAATAGTGTTTTTCCAATTCTGAACACTTTGCAGTGAGTTTTAGAGTTTTCTCCTACAAAATTCTACATACATATGGGAGGTTGAGAAATTCTGGGAAAAAGTTGTCATGTATATGCCAGTAGTGTTCTTGTTCCTGTATAAACAATGACTAAAGGAAATTTCAAAAGAAGTGTCTTGGCTGAGTGTCTAATTTCATGTGAACTGAGAATTACTCTGAAAATAATGTTTCACAGGCATGGGTTGTCCACCATGAGTTGAAGTAATTTTTTAAGCTTGTGTTTATGTGGATGAGGGAATAAGAAGAGAGTAAGAGGTTGGATCCTTCTGCTAAGCTGGGAATTGCTGAACTTTAGAGATTTATTTACCCCTCCAGGTTATTTAGGTGTCATTTTACACATAGAGAATAGAGTTTAAAGCTTACACAAAATAAAGTGTAAGCTTTAAACTCATTTTTTTGTCATCACTTCTGGAGCCACACCCAGTATAAAACCTTCTCAAATGACTGTATCTAGACTTGAAATTGTTTGGAGTTATAGCACCTAACCCTAAGATTCAAAAAGGCAGAAGTAGGGGATAGGAGCAAAGATGTTCTCCTGAGTTGCCCTTCCCGTTCACCACCTCACCTATGTGTTTTAGTAGGTGATGAAGAAGATACACCTTACAAAACTTTAACACCTTTTACCTATGGCTGGTCTGTCAAGTCCCTATTTTTTTTTAAGTTTACATGATAGCTTTCCCATTATTTTTCCATTATAAAATCAACATAAGCACATTTGTAGAACGTTCCCATTAGAGGAAAATGGGTTGGGGGGAATCACCCATTATTCCCACCACCATTAGCATAGCTGCTGACAGAATTTTTGTTATAATTCCTTTCAGTCTTTTCACTATGCCTATTTTTAAATTTAAGAAAGTCTTTTTTTTTTTAACTTTCCATTGTGAAAATGTAAAAGCATTCAGAAAAACTGAGTAATACAGTGTATTCTCATACACCCACCACCTTGTTTCAACAGTTATTAACATAAGGCCAACATCATGACACTTTAAGTACTTATGATGGATCTCCAAAAAGCAGGACATACTTCATTACTATTATAAACCTAACATAATAAAAATTAAGTAATTCCCTAATATCATCAAATTACCAGTTAAAGTGTCCAGCCAGAAGTGGTGCTGGCCAATTTGCAGTTCTGAATGGTCTTCCTCTTTCGGGACTTATTTTCTTTGTTTTCCCTTTTCCAATTTCTGGGCCAAAATTTCCTGTACTTCTATACCACGTAGCCAGATTCCTTCACCCCCGTGATCTCTGAACTTGTAATACACATAAATCTACTACACTGGCAGTTGATTGTGTGTTACTTTATGACTTACCTCAAGTTATTATTTAGCATATCGTTTCTCTATGTCTTATTTCTTCAACTACTATTCATATATTCCTTGAGGTAAAGAGCATATTTTACTCTAATCTGATTTTTCAGGTAGCCTAACAATACAATATAGATAGAGCTTGGTACACACTGACTGATTAATACCTCTGGCTCCCCACTTGTTAGTTGTATTTTTCCCTCTTCTACTTCTCCCTCCAACTAATAATTGCAAGCTCTTGCCTCTCACCCCCGACTCTTCTTTGTGGATATGTCTTTTTGGTTTTTTTTTTTTGCCTCATATTCATATTTTAGAAATCACTGTAGCTCAATAACCTGAGATAATTAATTCATCTTTAAAAGGCAACCAGTGATTAGCTTTCCAAAGGGAGGATTAGACTTTTTTTTTCCCACCACAGAAATTGTGTTTTATTACTTTTGGAGAGTATAAGATTAATGTTTTACATTTTTAGAATATTTTACCATAATTAGACCTCTGGAATTGAGAGGTCATATCATTCTCCAAGGATCATTTAATTCTTAAACCCCTTGCCAAGAGAGTGCTTGGTGGTGTGGTGGTAGTGGTGATATTTACACCTGTTTGCTGGGAGAAGGGCCAAGGCAGTCAGCCGATTTTACTGAAAAGCTCTGGAAAGTCATTGGGTGATCACAAGACCAACTTGGGTTGCTGATGCAGTGGGAATTCAGTTTCAGAGGTCAAGCTGCCGTCTGGTAGGACACATGGCAAATGGCACAGGCCTTCCTTTAGCTTACTAGACTGTTCTGTATCTTGTGAGTGTTTAGTAACTACTACCCAAAGATAGACTGCATACCTTTCATAAAAGCTAGATGTGCCAGTGTCCAGAGAAGCATTTTGAGCTATATGGAAGTATTTATAGAACCATGTTAATTTCTTAAGTTTTTAAGTTCCTGGAAGGCAGAGGCAGATCTTCCTTTAATGATGATAACAATGATGATAATGATGATGGTGATGATGATAGCAACAATAATAAGAATGACTAACATTTATTAGGTGCTTACTCTTGAGTCAGGCACCTTTCTAGAAACTCTACATATATGAGTCCATTCAATCCTTACAACCAACTTAGATGCCATATTTATCTCTTAGGAGTTTGGGATTGACATATACACACTACTACTATATTTAAAATAGATAACTAACAAGGACCTACTGTATAGCACAAGGAACTCTGCTCAATATTCTGTAATAACCTAAATGGGAAAAGAATTTGAAAAAGAATAGATACATGTATATGTGTAACTGAATCACCTTGCTGTACACCTGAAACTAACACAACATTGTTAATCAACTATACTCCAATATAAAAGAATTAATTTAAAAAAAAAAAAAAAAAAAAAGAATTAATTTTAAAAAATAAAGATGAAGAAACCAATTACAGAGAGATTAGATGACTCTTCCATGGTCACCCAACTAAGTGGTAGAGCCAGGATTCAACCCTTGGCAGTCTTGTTTCAGAGCCCTTGCCCTTAGCCATCATACCACATAGTACTATATGTATCTGAGTGTTTTTTGAGACATTTCAAACATGTGTGACCAACCAACAATTACAAGTCACAAATATATGGATTTCATAGGAAACAATAAGGGTATATATGCTGCAATAAAGCACAATTTTTATATGGGATGGATGAGAAAATATAAGCAGCACAAGTTTTAACTTTGATTCAGTACTGGTTAACTTTTCATAACCATATCCTATTCATGATACATTAATTTATTTGGACAGATCTTAATTTGAATACAAACCCCTAGTGCCACAGAATGGCACTATATATGAATACTATACTATATATGAATATTATACATGAATGTAGTATTCATCAATGAGTAGCATTTGAGAGTAATGCAAGCCTGGGTGAGATTTTGCTAAATGCATATTTGTGCTTATATTCCGTGTTTATTTAGAAGTCCTCCTTGCTTAAAATGCCTCCTGAATCAAATTGGAAGTTCTAATTATGTGCTTCAAAGCCCATATATCCCGTCACACACTGGGCTCTCAGGATCCACTCTGCTTCTCATCCCTAGCATGTGACTCCCACTTCTAAACCCTTTCCCCTTCTTCCCACTTAGTAATGCCATCCCCCTCCTTCAAAATTCTTAAGACTTTCACCTGAGGGTGCCTGCCTTATGCACACTTCTATAGAAATTGTATATGTCCCCAACTAGGCTATAAAATCCACAAGAGCCAGGACCATACCTATAATTACTGTTTAGGACATACTGATCTCTTTCTGTGATTCAGACACACTACTAAGCAAGATGATGCAAGGATCCTTTGCTAATAGCATACAAGGTATGATTAGGAAGGGTACTGACCCACAAAATTCAAAGTACAGTTGACCCTTGAACAATGTGGGGGGTTAGTCCACGAATAATTTACAGTCGACCCTTCGTATTTGTGGTTCCTTCTGTATCCGCAGATTCCATCAACCACGGACCATATAGCACTTAGTATTTACTATTGAAAAATATCCATGTGTAAGTGGACCTGCGAAGTTCAAACCTGTATTGTTCAAGGGACAGCTGTATGTGCCTGCCCATTAGTAACCATGGCTCAGCCATTGTTACTGAATTTCAGGTAAAGACCAAATAGAACTTGTCTAAGTTCAGTGGAGGCCAATTAAAATTAGTCAGGATTTTCATATGGGTAAACATCACCCCCCAAAAAAAAAACCCCTGAATTTGCTTACTTTATTTACGTATTGTAGGTAAAGCAACTGAGTCTCGGAGAAGTTAAGTCAAATTCAGTGTTAATAACTGGCAAATCCAGGATTTAAACACAGGTGTAATTGGCTCCCAAATCCCATACTCTTACTAGACAGTTTTATTAGACAGTTTCATTTACTACTTTGTATTCTAATGCTTGGTCCATGTATAAGGCTCAATAAAAGTTTGAAAATCGGGCTTCCCTGGTGGCGCAGTGGTTGAGAGTCTGCCTGCCGATGCAGGAGACACGGGTTCGTGCCCCGGTCTGGGAAGATCCCACATGCCGCGGAGCGGCTGGGGCCGTGAGCCATGGCCGCTGAGCCTGTGCGTCCGGAGCCTGTGCTCCGCAACGGCAGAGGAAAGAAAAGTTTGACAATCACTTGAAACGATAAGAATATATTAGTGTTTTATTATTTTTAGAAGTTGTATTTACATGCTGTTAATATAAACATATTAATATTATATTTAACAGCACGTAAATGCAACTGGGGGTTGAGGGTCCTTGGAGAGGATAGAACTTGGCTAAGCTAAGAGGAGTTACAGGCCACGCTGGCTGGAGGCAGACAAGAAAGAGTGCCTGTGAGGGGTAGGAGGAAGATTGAGCAATGCTGATGGATGGCTTTGGAGGTTTCCCTTGGGAGAGTATGATGGGATATAGAGCAAGTAGGCCCACATAATGGAGGGCCTTAAAATCAGGGCAGGAATTTGAAAGTCACCCTGTAATTGATAAGTGTTTGAGATAATGTTGGTTCAGAAACAACATGAAGGCATCCACACACCACTGCAGAGAACAGTGTCTAAAAAGAAGAAACAACAAGCCAAGTGTCATCCAAAATTCTGTTAAAGGAATACTAACAAATTCAAACCTACACTTTCCTTTCTTCTGTAGCTTCAGCATATCTGGGCTCTAGATTTAAATATTTCTTTCATTTTCATAGGAATGCTCCAGAGTTCTTTCTTTATTGTTGTGATTTTGCTTCTGGAGCTGTGGAGCTGGTAAAGGTATGCCTTATATTTTCTTTAAAGAGAGCTATATTAAAAATCTAATTTTTTGCTGTTGAAGTGATTTTTTTTTAATGTAACTGCATCAGATGTAATCTGTGACCATTTTTAACTGAGCTTTTACAGTTTTGCAAATCATATCATCAACTGATGCCTAAGATGTTACCCTAAAACAATAGAAGTTGTTTGGGATTTAATATAGAGTTCAAGAGAGTGGTTCCTACAAGGTGGTATTTATATTTATGTCCCTAGAGCTTTACACACAGTTTGGCACATAGTAGGCACTCATTAAATTAAAAATTTTGAAAAAAAAAAAGGTCTGAAAAGGCATATATTACAAATCTAAAATGTCTCAACTGTAAGGAAAACAGTGGTGGGAACCGGGCCTTATTTGACCAATTCCCAAATGCTAGTAAGCATTATCATAGCAAAAAGAGGTAATTTTAGGAAATGGAAAAGGAATGGAAATTCTAACAAAAATGTATAGTAAACACATGGAACATAATTTCTGGTAATAAGAGTTAATAGTTTTTCATTGTAGACATTTTCTAAAATACTGAAAAGCCTAAAGGGGAAGATAAAATTTACCTATAATATGCTTTTTTAGAGTCCTAGAGTGAATCACTGTTAGTATTTTGCTATATATCCTTCTAGCGTTGTTTTTATAGGCAAATTGTGTGTGGATGTGGTTTTTTAAAATAGCATCTTTTTTGAGGTATAGTTCACATACCATAAATTTCACCATTTTAAAGTATACAAACCTGTGATTTTTAGTATATTTAGAGTTGTACAGCCATCACCATTACCTAATGTTGATTATGTACTATAGGATATTTATATATTAATGCCAAAGGAGGCATGGAATAAGCAGTGAGAGAGAGAACCGAGGACCATCTCAGTGCCTCTGAAGTAACACAGGGTGGGCTTCCAGCAACACTGCCTACCGACTCAGAAAGATTGCCCTACTCCACTTTTCAAGAAAGGAGGGATTGCAAAAGAATATTTGTTATCAAGTCCAAGTGCTAGACTTAATTTTTAATGACAGCTTGAAATAACCTAACAGAATACCTAATCCAAAAATCAAATTTATAGAAGAAAGGCACTTGAGAGAAGTTAAATTGACGTTTTTAATTTGAGAAAAATACTAGAAGTCTGCTAACAACTGTTTTTGTCTTTTCATTCCTTTATCATGACAGTCGCATGCGTCATACAGAGCAGCCCAGTGCTGTGCCTTTGTTCATGACGTGTGTGACGATGGCCTACCCTACCCTTTTCCAGATGGGATCCTGGATGTCATTCTCCTCGTCTTTGTGCTCTCTTCCATTCATCCTGACAGGTAAATGAAGACTAAAGGGCAGAGCAAATGTGTACAGCCCCTTTATCAGGAGTGGCTTTCAAAACTATCAAAGCAAAAATGACAATTCTTGAATTTATTATTTAATGAACTACATTATGTATAATATGCAGCCTTTTAAATGTAGTTTTTCCTTTCTTCAGACTTTCAGAAAGAAACTGGTGACACTACTTCTTTAGTGAGCTTTCTGTCACTGTCAGAATGAAGTAAGCATCTTCTGGCAAGACACATACCTATTAAAAGTGACAGAGCTTCAAGGAAATTACAAATTCAGAACAGCCTAATAGACTCCCGAGAGGGAAATTGTACATTGGTGATCAGAAACAAACATCTTTGATTTAGCATCTTGCTGAATGTTCATGAAGAGGTGGGCTGTAAATCTGTTTGGCTTCACACTGGTCTATCGATGGGCTTTAAAATATTTGTTTTAAAGAAGCCCACTAGGGAATTAGGGGTTATCAAAATTTGCCAGATTAACCTCGGACCTTTATAATCTAAGATTGGCCTAGTGCCATCATTTAAATATTCATGACTTAAATATTTTTGTTCACATAAGGTTTTGAAATAATAAATACAGCTTTTCTCTAAAGAGGAAGCACAAAGAGATATTACCAGCAATTAAAATGATCACTTTTCTTAAAATTTTGCCACCTTGTATGTATTAAGACACATGTGGTAAGTGTCAGGGGTTGTGCCTTCATAATGTTTCTTAAAATTGGGTTTTCGTGATCTTCTGGTAATAGATACGGACTTGGCATCAACCGCTTTTTGTTTGGTGAGTGTGACTCTTTCCCAAAGAAATCGAGTATTGTGTCCTTCCTTCTTTGCTATTATAAGGTCACTAGGACCCTTTACAGTCCTTTCACTTCTCATTCAGAGATGTGCACTTTGATTACTTGTGGAAAAGCAAATTAGATTTCCAAATAACGAATGAAATATATAATTGCACCTGGTGAGATATATCAAGTTCCATGAAGTTACTTCCTCCCAGTTTCTATAACGTATTTCTTTCTGCTAATCTGTTTATACTGTTGGCATTATTCAGGTACTGGTAGAAGGATGCCACCTATGTATTTTGTTTCACAGTTAAAAGGATGAATAGTAAAAAGGATAGAGTAGGTGGATAGTGAACAAGATTTTCTGACACCTATAACAGGAAATGTTTAAATTCAAAATGAGACCTCAAAAAGTCTACTTCAATTAGTTTAGATAATGTATTTTTGTCATGAGTTGAATTGAATGTTAAAGAGAAGGGGAAGCAGATATCTTGGAAAGATTGTTTTTATAGTACATATATTCATTCTATTTATTTATTATAAAATAAGTTCAGATGTATCATGTCAGTAGCTACTTTCTTACCTACATGGAAATGATCTAAAAATGAGGTGAATGAGTAGAAGTTGGGTAATAGTAAGTGAAAAGTAAGGCAGTATCTTTAGGGTCATCAAGCACTGTGGTAGTAGATTCAGCCCCAGGAAGATTCTAGAAAAATGGCTTATTGCCAGCTTGGAAGTTCAGCTAGACCTTGAGTCTTGGGGTCCCAGCTTAAATGGGAGTAAACCATAGAAGGCTACAAAAAAAATAGGTAGCTGTCCTTCCTGTTATTGAAATAAAAGTATAATATGTTTTCTAAAGATCTAAGCATCGAATAGTCAATAAACACTTTTTTTTTTTTAATCCCTTTTTTTCCTTCTCCTCTCCCTCCATCCAGCGATAGGTGAGGATAGCAGAGTTGGCCCAAGTCAGATGAAAAAAGAAAAGGGGCTTTCCCCCATTCTTGTCCATCTCACCTGCAGGCCACTCCCACCTGCATTTCTCAGGAACTGGCTCTGGAATTGCATTATGACCCAAGATGGGCTGATAAGAGAAGCAGCTCCCCACCTCTTGCCTTCACCTGCAACGCAGACTTTAAAGGATAGTTGGAAGGAGAGGATTTGCAGAAGGAGGCTACATTTTGAACTATTTGGCTGTTTGTTTTTTTGTGTTTTCGTTTCATGCTTGTTTTGCTAATAATTGCAGAAAGAGATTTTTTTTCTCTGTACGTAAAACATTTATCCGGAAAGTGAATATTTTAAGGTTTAGATATGGTTTTCTTTAATTGTCAAATTCTAAGGATATAAGCACAGTGTGAAAATAACCTGTAATAAAATAAACAAGGAAAAATACTATTCTTTTTCTCTTTCATGTACTTAGGTTCCAGGTTTTTTAAAGAGCTTTTTTTCTAATCATGGCACCTTTTTCTGTCATTTCTCTCTTGTTTTCATAGTTACTTTCATTTTCTTACTACTTATTTCTTTCATAACCTGACATTCTGTTTCACCCCGTTATTCCACTTAACAGTGTTTTAAATTTTTATTTTTTTTTAATTTTTAAAAATTTTTGGCTGCATTGGGTCTTCATTGCTGCGTGCCGGCTTTGTCTAGTTGCGGGGAGCAGGGTCTACTCTTCGTCGCGGTGCGTGGGCTTCTCGTTGTGGTGGCTTCTCTTGTTTCGGAGCACAGGTTCTAAGGCACGGGCTTCAGTAGTTGTGGGACACAGGCTCAGTAGTTTTGGCGCATGGGCTTAGTTGCTCTGCGGCATGTGGGATCTTCCCAGACCAGGGCTCGAACCTGTGTCCCCTGCATTGGCAGGCAGATTCTTAACCACTGTGCCACCAGGGAAGTCCCTGAACAGTGTTTTAATTGGAAGGAATTTACAGATTATCTGATCAAAACCCCTAATTTTTAAAATAAGGTATGCTCAGAAGCTTTAAGAAGCTTGGATAAAGCAGAGACAGCAAGGACTTAGTACACAGGCTGCCATTTACCATTCTCTGCCCAGGGCAGACATTGATAATTGATTTTGTAGATTGTCATTCCCTGTGAGTCTTAAGAGTCCTTTGCAGTAGAGCTCCGTCGGCAGCCAATGTCAGTCACTTGGCTTGATATGAGATCTGAAATCTTTGTCATCTCTGTACCATAATCACATATAAGGCCTTGAACACTTAACCAAAAACATTAAATCAAAAGCAGTCACAGGCTTCCCTGGTGGCACATTGGTCGAGAATCCGCCTGCCAATGCTGGGGACACGGGTTCGATCCCTGGTCTAGGAAGATCCCACATGCCTCGCAGCAACTAAGCCCGTGAGCCACAACTACTGAGCCTGCATGCCACAACTACTGAAGCCCACGTGCCTAGAGCCTGTGCTCCACAATGAGAAGCCACCGCAGTGAGAAGCCCGCACACTGCAACAAAGAGTGGCCCCTGCTTGCCACAACTAGAGAAAGCCCACACGCAGCAGCGAAGACCCAACACAGCCAAAAATAAATTAAAAAAAAAAAAAACCAGTCACAAGGGGTCATGTTTGGGAACCAGATGGGTAGAATAAGCAGTAAAAGAAAGAAAGTAATAAGAGCTTCCCAGTATTGAGCTGGGGCTTAGAGTGTGAATAGAATTTAAATAGGCAAAGAGTAAGGAGGAGAGAATTCTTTGAGGGGAAACCACATGAGCAAAGGCATGGACTGCTCAGAGCCAAGCATGTAACAGTTTGGCTAAAGATGCTTCAGATTAGGAAGCAGTGGGAAAGATGTTGGAAAGATTGAGGTCAGTTGTAGGTGATCTTAAGGGCTCAAATAAGAAACTAAGATTTTATCCTGTGGATTAAAATCATGAAAATTTGAGCAAAGGGATGATTTGACAAAACCATCATTTTAAGAAGACTAATTCATCAATGATATGCAGGAAGGATTGGCAGGGATAATAATAACACCTGTTAAGAAGCAATTCTGTTTCCAGCCTGAGGATGTTGGAGTTTGTATACTAAGGGAGGACCAATGGGATACGAGAGAGAGAAACGATCAAATATGTAGTTTTTTAAAAAAGACATACAATTTGATGACCAAATGGTTGTGCTGAGGATAGTGGAAGAAGAGAAAAATAAAAGGAGTCAAAGATTTCTCTGAGGTGTTACACTTCGGTGAATTTAGTACCTTTGAACTAAATAAAGAAGTCAGGAGGAAAAGCAGCTAGTTTTGGAGGAAAGGTAATCCCCGTTTAGGTATGTCTGATTGGGACAGTTCTGGCATATTTTTTATCTTGCAAGGAAAATGAAACAACTTCATTTTTTTCTGCTGGAACTACCTTAATTTGCTGTTAATATCAGGAATGTCTATGTGGTTTTGCAGTTCAGCATTGACATTACACATCAAGCTCTGTGAAGTTACCGCTCTGGTCATTTGGGTGATTTCTTGATATTCTAGGCTTTTTGAATCTGATTATTTAGCAAGTTGGTGTCCTTTTTTCTTTCTATACAAAATATTTTTGGTTTTGTTCCCCTTATATTTGTGGCTTACATTTCTTTGGCCTCATTGAGCTGTGCTTATTTTATCATTAAGGAGGTTAAATGTGACGTATAAAACAAGACTTCCACAGAGTCTCTTGCTTTGTTTTCAAAGGATGCAAGGTGTTGTAAACCGACTGTCCAAGTTACTGAAACCTGGGGGAATGCTGTTATTTCGGGACTATGGAAGATACGATAAGACTCAGCTTCGTTTTAAAAGGGGTAATGGTATATTCAGTTTGGAGTTATTTTCTTGTGTTTTAAAGAATGCTGTGTTTACACTTCATGTCAATTTTGTTGTTGGTGGTGGTGGTGGTTTTCTTAAGGAATACTAAGTTTCTCTTGTCACACTTCTTTTTTTTTTTTAGGGCATTGTTTATCTGAAAACTTTTATGTTCGAGGAGATGGTACCAGAGCATATTTCTTTACAAAAGGTATGTTTATCTATAAGAGGAAATAATTAGCTGTAAAAACTTTCCTTGGGTATTATTTGCAGGGAGAAACTTAAAAGCTCTAAAAATGAGGCTTCAAGAGTTGAATAAACATTAGATGTCTTTACACCTTAGTGATTATAACTGTTCTATGTAAAAGCTTGGAAGTGGCCTTTTTGCCTTTTAATCTTTTTCCAATTTAAAGAATCACTTGTTTCATCCTCATACCCTAACGAAGTTTCCATTTCAGAGGAACTGTTAGCCCAGATATGAAAAAATTGATGACGTGCCACAGCCGAAAGAGGGAATGTGATTTTAAGAGTCCATAGAAAATTACTTATCTCTTGTCAATTTCTCATTTTAAAAAAGCATTTAAAATGAATCCTTCATTCAAGGACTTTGCCCAAACTTATGTGATTACTTTTACAATGTGCCATTTGGGGTCTCTGCAAACCAACAAAAACTCAGATCTGGGCACCTTTCAAAATATTGAAAGCTGCAACCGATAGTGTTGTATATCTGTTAACACCTGCTGTGTTCAACTGTTTATACTTGGTATGTTTGTGTGAAATAGAAGAAAACCACTTGGTGTCATGGGTTTCCTTCACCAATTTGTACTAGAGAATGTTTCTTGGTATAAATGAAAATTCAGATGGTTATTCATTCCATTAATGTTCCATTGTTCCTGACTGCCCCTCCCCCCAAGTCACATATCATACATTTGACTGCCATTCTTGTCTCACAGGGGAAGTCCACGATATGTTCTGCAAGGCTGGGTTAAATGAGAAGCAAAATCTGGTCGATCGTCGCTTACAAGTTAATAGGAAAAAAAAAGTGAAAATGCACCGAGTTTGGGTTCAAGGAAAATTCCAGAAACCATTACCCTTCACTCAAAAAAGCTCCAAATTGGTATTTTCACTCTTTTCTCATGGCTGAACTATGTATCATGTTAAGGTACAAACCAGAGGATTACACTATTCAAAGTCTTCTGTAAATCTTTCATTTTTGAAAAGACAGAAGAAGAGAATTTGTATATCCTGCTGTTTACCGTGGGTGGGCTCTTTTGTGCATTTTAAGCACATGTAAGTGATTTGGAAGAGAGCACAGTATTCTGTGTTTTCAAAACGTAATATGCTAAAGCTTGTTTGGATTTATTACATCTTAACCATTTTGTTTGTTGTTTGAGTTTTATAAGCATTCAGTTAAATTACCAATATAAGTCAGATGATTCTGAGAAGCGGAAACCTGCCATTTTTTAGAAGTGAAAAAAACCCATCTACTTTATTTATACATTAGTTGAACACAGTTGAACTCTCCTCCACTGTTAACTGATAGCAGAGAGGCAGCTCACCTTGTTTCCAAGGAAAGTCACAAGACCAAGACAAAAGTATATATTTTTTTGTTTTGTCGTTGTTCGTCCCAAAACTTTCTTTTTTCTTTAATTCACAGACTAATGTCTGAAACAGAATTTTAGTTTCTCTTTCCTTTCCTAAAATTGGGGAAGTATGACCAATGCTAATATTATTTTCAGGCTATTCTTAGGTGTACAAGTTGGAAGCCTTCTTTAAGACAACTGTCATACCCAAGAAAATTCTTAAATCGTAGCAATTAAAAATTTATTTACCACCTTGCCTCAAAAAAGACATAAATTGGCTTGCAAATTGTACTTGGTAAAAATGGAGTTTCTAAAACTGGTCTGTCATTCATTATACAACATATACTGAGTACTTACATTGTGCTGAATTATATGGAATAATACAATAAAGACCCAGCTCTGTCTTCTGAGAGCATAAATAGGCTCTAGCTGGCAAAGCAAACTGTGCATCCCAAGCCTCTAAATCATGATCTAAGATAACATGTGAGCAAGTACTCAAATACGGAGCTTATCAGCTAGCTGGTATGCTTGACTGATTATGAGCCACAGAAACCTGGAAGACATGGACAATCTCTTGAAAGGGCCACCATCAGAATGATCAGTTCCAACTATTTTTCCGTTTTGAACTCACTTAAAATTCAACTTCCTGGAAGCATATGATCGGTCCAATTTGGATCATGGATTTATCTTTTTTTTTTTTTTTTTTTTTTTTTTTTCGGTACGTGGGCCTCTCACTGTTGTGGCCTCTCCCGTTGCGGAGCACAGGCTCCGGACGCGCAGGCTCAGCGGCCATGGCTCATGGGCCTAGCCGCTCCGCGGCACGTGGGGTCTTCCCGGGCCGGGGCACGAACCCGTGTCCCCTGCATCGGCAGGCGGACTCTCAACCAGTGCGCCACCAGGGAAGCCCCATGGATTCATCTTTTGACAGACTGGGGCAGGACAGGTTATTTGATGGCACCACCAGACTATATGGAATGGAGGCAAGTTCCTCGAAGGAAAATCAAGACACTGTTATCAAAAAGAGGGGAGGGTTGCTGCCCAGTCACAGACATCGTGTGGTGGTAGCAGTAGTAATAATGGTTCTGAAGAGAGAGAAAGATCAGCTGTGGGATGGAAGGGAAAGAATCAGGGTTCTGGGAGGAGGTAGGTCTCAGGCTAGTCCTAGAACATATGCTCTCAGAAGATGGTGAGAAGACAGGTATGTTTGGTGGGGATATGGATATTCATGATTCGGAATAGTGGAGAAAAGATGGGGAGGGCATCTATAGACAGCCTTGAATAGAGGGTGCATTGGGTTCTGGTCTCTGGACTAGAGCCATCCGAGGTTGGTTTATTTCTGTTTTATCCTAGCCGTGGTGTGTTATAAATATATTTAGAGAGATTGATTGAGGAGTCGTCAACAGAATGGAATGCAGTGAGGTCAGAGATCAGGGCAAGGAGAACCACGGAAGGTTTTGCATACATTTTCCTTGATAACAAGTCCTCAGAAGTACAATATCAAGGTTTCTGTTTAAACATGCAGTAAATGTAAAAGTCAAAATTTGCCTGGGACTCTTAACTCAGTTGTTTTCCTAATTAAAGTGTATATTTAAAAGCCAAACTAGTAACGAAGGTATTACGTACAGCAAGGGCAGTTAGATAAGTTAATGTTGCTATGGGAACCCCAGCAGATCTTCTTGTGTCTCAATTTAAAACTCATGGCCCAAGGTGGTTTTAAAAACAACAGAAGGTAAAATTATTCCCACATTCTCATACATGTAAATCGTACTGTCTCTCTCTGTCCTAAATAGCAGATTCAAGCCAGCTTCTTGACTGGCACAGTAAAATGCTGCTCCGTGTCTTTCTATAATGTATTACAGCATGTAGTTAACCTTTAGAAACTTCAAAAATACATCCACCAAATTTGGACTGTGAGACACAAACTGGGCTCTTTTGGGCTCTGTCTAGCATAGACCTCCTATTCCACATGGCTGCTCAATGGGCCATTTCTATCAGTGTCTTCTGCTTGTCTGGTCAGTCTTTCTCTCCCTTAGCCTACCTGAATCAACCCCCTACTTAGACTTTGCTGCCAGACAAAATGTAGATGTTTTTTGGCAGAGGAAAAATAAGAGAAAGACCTGATTTGGAATATTGCCTATAGATATTAAGAAATCATGAAATGTTGCAAATGTATCTGCTTGGGTATTAGTTTAAAATATTTGATAACTTCATGAAATTCTCATCTTTTCCCTCACATCTATGGAGCTAGGACTAGTCAGTTAGGCAGAGTTTGATATTTAAAACTTCATCTGCTGAGGGAGCTGAATTTCAAAAGGACTATTTTCTTTCTAACAGAAAAAGATGTGTTCCTTCATTTTATAATACAGAAACAATGAAAGATGCTATATTAAAAATGCGCCCTCTGTTTTCCTCCATTTATAAAAATTCACTTTTGAGCATTTTCCAAATGTAAAAATTCTCACACACATGAAGTACTGTTTCATAAGGTTGTGAGAAAGCCAAGGTAGCGGTTTCTATTATTAAAAGTTTTGCATTTCGGTATGACACATTTGTCGTATTGAAACACCCAGTTAATGTTGACTTCTGAGAACTTATTTGCTTTGCTTGTCTCAGTTCCATATGCGTTGTCTCTAAATTTTGAATACATCGAGGTTTCTACCATCATGCAGTCTAAATCGTTGCTATACATATTTGTACGTGAAAATTATTCACCCGTATGCGAAGAGCTGCCCTCCGGGGCATCAGGACCATGTAAACCGTTCAACATCAGGTGACTTAAATTCTTGCCCCCAGACTCCTATGCTGTATTCCTCTGGTTTTCCAACTCATCAAAGCCAATTTCTGAAGCCAGAATATATCACGCATTATTACTTCTAATTGGTTTTAATGTTTGTTATGCTCCTCACAAGTGCAGATAACTTCACATTTGCATCATTAATAGGCCTTTTTCTGAGCCTCTGCTTCTGCTTTCTGCCTCTGTTAGTCATCAGTAGACGTGTTGGTGTGGGTATTCACCTCCCTTCCTTGTGAAAAGTGCCTTGTAAAATCTAAAGCACTGAATATATGTGAGGTATTGTTATTAATAACAGTATTTACAGTCTACAAGGCAGCATACAGAGTACTCCAGCAACAGAAACTTTTTCAGTGGTTTTATGAGACCTTGTGAGAAAGACAGTAAAATGCATGGAAAAATATTGCCTGCAAGTCAGACAGGAAGCATGGGTCCTAGTTCCTGTTGAACCGCTTAGCTGCTCTTAATTTACCTCTGAGTGCTAAGTCTTTTATACACTACACTTTTATATACCACATTATTCCTTCATTTAATCCTCAAACTCCTATGAATTAGTTTTTACTGTAACCATTTAACAGATAAGACTGGAGCTCTGAGGTATTGGGTAATTTGCCTAGGATATCACTGCAAGTCAGTGGCAGAAACACAATTTGGGCCCAGAAGTGTCTGATTCCAAAACCTCTAGTCTCATCAGTACACTTTTAATTGATAGACTCAAATGCTGTTTGGGAAAGCTGCTGGAGAAGAAAAAGAGCTCCTGAATCAAGCAGAGAATTATAGCAATGGGTGGGAGTTTGGATCAGACGATCTTCAAGGAGACAGCTCATTCTAGATCCAGTGATTCTATGAAATAGGTAGGTAGTACTTATCCACAGTTACAAACTGGGAAGGAAGAGAAGGAAAGGAACGAAGAGGAATGACAAAGCAAAAGCTTGCAGTCAACTCTTTTCAGCGTTCTGCATATGTTTACTTCTGCTCTCGCCCCACCCCCCTTCGGGCTTCAGCCTTCCACTTGGCTCCCCTGCGAGCACACAGAGCACCCATCACTTGCATACTCCTCACTTAAAGAAAATAAATCAGTCTGTACTGCAAGGGGGTAGGGGGAACCCTCAAAGGGATCAGCTCCTGCATAATCTAAAATATGTGATCAGGGAGTGTCAATAATAAAATGAGTGAAAACATCTTTGTTTAAAACATTGTATGTACAATAATGCCAATTCAAGCCTGACATGTTGAGCATTCTGTGGAATATGGCTTGGGATTTGAGAGGCCCAAAGTTACCTGCAGGTTGGCTTTGGTGTAGTTATAAATATAAATAGAAGTAAAATAACAGTTGCATCTTCATTTATAATGAATATATACTGTGGCCTCAAAGCTGCAGAGGAGAGTGGATGCCAAAATCTATCTTTCATTAACATATGCCTTAAATGACAGGGAAGAGGTGTTAAGACAAAATTACTTTTTCCTCTGCGTATGAGTCAGCAACATGCAAGTAATAATAGTTCTGCGTGTGAGTCCCTACAGAGGGTAAGAAAAACAGCATCAAATTGAAAATGCAAGTCCACCTGCCGGAGGGGCCCAGGTGGCGGTAGAGCACAGCTCCCTTGAGCACCATCTTGAAGTGTCTCAGGGCACAGTGACCCCAACTCTGGCAAGCCAGGTTGGCATGATCTGCATGGAGGGCATTAAAACCTCCAGGTAGTCAAAGACAGCTCACCCTCAGCTGCTCCTGGACCTCATCAA